TATTTTTAGTCGAATCATCATGTATACAATCACAAGAATCTCAAATATTTTATATCATTATGGATGTTGAATCATTGCTATCCTTGTTGAAGCATATTATCATCAAGATTTGATTTTAAGATTACATATCAACTTGAAAAATAATAAAATTTATTAGATATACTTTCTAAACATTCTTATTTTGTATCAAAGGAAAGAGATAAAGCTTTTGATCAATAAAGAACGGTAATTTGGAAGCCTTAGTAATTTCATCTTTGAAAGATAAAATCAGTATTGATTGTTGATTCAAATTTTTTCAAGCAAATTCAATCAAGTATGTCTTTGATCTTCTTGTTCATGATATCAAGAATACTTCTTTTAAGTCTCATGATACTTCTAACTTTAAATTAAAAAAAAAGCCTAATCTATTTGAAAGATTACTTATATATTTCAAAAAGAGAAGTATGTTTATAAGTTCTTTAAGCATGTCACGACTTTCCAACTATAAAATATTTTAAATATAATAAGACTTTAGAGCTTATATTTATAGATTTTTAGTAGCTACAAATATAAATAACCATGGACTTTTATTTCTATAATAGAATAACCATAGACTTTTATTCAAAAAATACCTTATTTTATCAATTATGATTATTAATTATGACTTGATACTTTTAACTTTTTAAAAGTTGATAATCCTATGGTAGAAAATTTGTCAAATTGTTTGTCAAAGAAATATGCAATAATAAAAGTGCAGTTAAAAGAAGCTCAAAAATGACAAAAGATCAATACAAATGCTTATTAAAAGGAATAACTATAATTCAATGTGGATGAAAAGGTATGGTTATTTCATCACAATATCAAGATTACTTATCTTTATGATAAGTTGGATTATTATAGGCTTGAACCTTTTCCTATTTGTAAACAAATCAATCATGTTGCTTATTCATTATATCTACTAGAGTCTATGAAGTTCCATTCTATATTCCACGTATCTCTTCTTGAGCCTTATATAATAATGAATATCTCAAAAAAAAGACAAATTCCACCTCTTTCTATAGAAGTAGATAATAATCAAGAGTTTAAGTTAGACAAAGTCTTAGATTCTAGATAGCACCAAAATAGATTAAAATGTCTTATTCATTGGCATGGATATGATACTATTGAATACATATAGAAACTAGCAAAGAATCTTGCAAATGTAGCAAAGAAGGTTAAGGCTTTTCATCAGTGACATCCATCAAAATTAAGATAAAAGATAGCAAATTTTTGCTATAAAAAAAAATTACAAAAAAAATAGCATTCTATCTTCTACCTTTATTTGTAGCTTTTGTATATTTTTATTACTAAAAAGGTTGAAAATCAACAACCAATAGATTCAATTCAAGAACTATTATTTGTTAAATTACTAGATGAGATATTATAATTGTTACAATCTTCAAGACAACGTAATTGAAATGAAGATCCTTAAGAATGGCATGTCCTTCTTCAATTAGATAGTAAGATATAATGTATTTGATATCACAACCTTAGAAGAAATTCTTGATGTTTGGTGATTTTATTAGAGGTAGGAATAATTCTTGACATTGTTTCAAATATTTTATTTGAAAAAGATTATGAAAGCTTTAATAATAATCAAATAACATGATGGTCTTCTTGCATTAGTATGGGATACTATCAATGGTTGAAAGGACCTATCAACCATCTTCAAAGAGAAAAAGATTAAGATATATGACAAAAATAATTTATTGTATTTTAAATTTTTTCAACATATGGTGACCACTCTTTGTGGAACTTATCTTTGAAAGAGAGACAATGTCACAGGCATACATATTTATTCTAATAATTATCTATATGATTAAGTAGAAGTAGATAAATATAAATTAATTTCATAATATCTTCTAAAGAATCTTTTTAAAAGCTTCATAGATATTACTTTGACTTTACACATGTTTATAGTTAATTGATAGATTAGAAACTTAGTCCAAAAGTTAGCCACGTAACACACATATTAGTAGCTTATGGAACAAGCTAACTATGTGGCACAGGTATAGATAACTCGCCTTACAAGTTAAAACATGCATCTAGCAAAGTCAATAGGTGTTGGAGGTCTTATAGAATATTGCTATATAGCTTCTAGTTAGAAAATATATAGGGATGCAAGAGTGAAGTCTTCTTCACTTTTGTCAATGCTTCTTTAGCCCTTAATCTTATTTCAAGTCTTTCTAATCTTTTTGATTTTGGAAATAACTATTTTAATTCAATATATTTCTATCTTTGAATAATTTTCTAATATTTTTGAATGATACAAGATTGTATTGAATTTTATTTTTTGAGATTCATATCTTGAACATAATTTGTATAAGTTTTGGTTTTAATGAATTAGCTTTTGTAAATTTAGAAGATGTTGCCATGACTTGAATTATACCTCGTTAACCAAATCTTTATTTTGGACATCTTTTAAAGTATCAATTGTTGCATCCATTAGCTTGAGCAATATATTACTTCAATGAGTCTATTCTTAACATTATCAATAGTAAATCTTTGATCTTATCTTTTAATCCATATCAAAATTGATTAATAAGAGCCTTTTTATTCTAATGAATTGTAATATTGCAAGCAAGGTTTTGGAATTCAATGACATATATGGTAGCTAATCATGATCTTTATGTAAAAATATAAGTTTGATTTGTATTATCATGTCTTCATCACTTTTGTCAAATGTGGCCATGAAAACTTTCAAGAATGAATTTAAATCATAGAATAGTCATAAGTCATTTTCCATCAAAAGTACAAATCAAGACAAAGAATTCTTAGAAAGATGAGTACTTATAAATTCAACTTGAGTAAATTCATTAGATTATTGAGAAAGATGTAGTCTTAGATAGAACTTTATTTGTTATAAAAATCTTCAAGAATTTGATCTTTTTCTATCAAACTTCTTAGGCATACTTATACTTGCCTCCTTCAAAATTATAATAGCAAGACTTTTTGGATTTAGTTCTCAACTTCATATAGTTGTTTCTCTCAATTATACAACTTTTTGGTATAAACTTTGAACTTCATTGTTGATTCATTCTATAGGTATTGGAATACTACTTCTATGATTGATATTACAAATACATGAGATTTCCACTCTAAGAGTGTTGACAAACTTATAAAAATTTGTAATGGTTGCAAATCTAATCTTACTTCTGCTGAGAATAGCATGTATAATTTTTTTCTTTTATAGACAACTCAAAATAAATCTAAATGAAAAATTAAAGGAGAGTAATGTACAACCTCTAATACCAAATAAAAATTTTCATAAGAGAGGTAGTCTATTCTCTTTTAAAAAAAAATCACTATTAGAAAATTAAAATATTTAATTAAAGGTGGGTAGTCCACAATCTTCAAAATACAATAATAAAAGTGGAATAGTCCATTCACTTCTAAAAATAAGACAAAAAGAATGAGTTAGCACTCTTGTCAAACTATCAAAGACATGAATCTCAAAAAACTAAAAGATTAATTTATTCTTATATCACTCAAAAATGCTAGAAAATCACTCAAAGATGGTATAATATTAAACTAAAATGGCTACTACTAAAGATAAGAATTTAAACTATTTTTATTTATTTATAATAACTAGATAACTATTGAAATAAATATCTATGTCCATGACACCTTTCTACAAGAATAAATTTTTAAATGTATTTGTAGTAGAACTATCATGAGCCTTGTGAATCCATTTTGTTATTTCTTCCTCCACAAGCATCAATACTTTTGCAATAGGGCCATAAAGAAATATTTCTTAAATTATATACCAATATATAATGAAAATATATTCATAGTGAATGTTCATCTGATGCAGGAATTTAGATGTGTCTAAATTTTTTTGGGTTGTTTAATGTCATGGAAGCCCACATGTCTAGATACAATAGGTTTAGACAAAAATGGTTTGTTCAAATTGACAAAATAATATAAATGTACTCTACTAAAAAGAAGTTACTATATATTATTAGAGTTCAGAATTAAATATGAAGCCTCATTTACCAAGAAAAACTGACCTATCAACATGTACCATAGGATCTACCTCATACCTTTCTTCCTAAAAATTCAAAAATTATACACAAAGAAGAGTTTTTTTCATTTTTATTCTCTAAATTTCATCCTTGAGGAATCATATGCAAGGCTGCATTCATCACAAGGTAAAATTTTGAGGATTGCTCTTCCAATTTAATGCTGGAGTGGTATTATTTACAACCCCCCACTCTATGTTTTTCCTCATTTTCTCATTTTCCTTTCCAACTGGTTTCTGTGCTTGTAAACACCCTGGCTTGAGGACCTCATCTTGCTTTATGTCTCACTTGATGTGTGCATTTGCAGCAACATTTCTGTGACAGTGAACAGGATTTTTGTCTTCTTCTCTCTATCTTCATGAGTGACATATCTAGAAAAGTATGAATGAATCCTCCACTCATGGATGAGCAGCCAGTTTTGGATCTGCCTATCAGACCAAGTACAAAGGACATCATTTTGAAATTCAGTAGGTTGTCTTTGTGTCTATGTGGGTATATTATCAGCAATAAAAACATTGATTTTTCTTACTAATTTGAAAGAGTTTCTTTATAAATCTGAAACATATGCCATGGTGGAAATATAAATCTTGTCAAATATCTGGGATTTTGTAAATAAATCAGAAATGTTGTTTTCGGAGAAAAATATTATTTGGTGAATTCTAGAATCTATTGTATTTATTTATTTATTTATGTTTGTTTGTTTGTTTTTTTGTTTTGTTTTGTTTTGTTTTTTTTTTTTTGTCTTGATTTTTCTAAAACATCTAAGAATGATTATCTCCACATTAACAAATATCACAGCAAGGATTTGAACTTCCAACCCCTCTATACCAACCAAGAATATTTCTTGGTATCACGTTGCTTATTCTGACCAATGCCACATCAGATCGGCTAGCATTAGTACATTAATAGCAATGACGTGGTTTGGACACAACAGTCAACATGGAAGCGATGGCTGAAATATGATTTGAGCCTGTTGGGGATGGGCATGAATTTCCAACATTGCATACGATAGAGAAAAACATTCTCATTAACGTCACTATAGGGGTTACATTGATGCTTCTACACTGTAGTTGAGGCAATGAAAATTGGATATTCAAGGAGCTTTTTAAACGTTTCGAGCCACTTAACATTTTAAGTTCAAGCTTCGTTAAAATGATGCGCAATCTTGCAAATTTCTGCTCGAGGTAAGGTTTTTAGCAAATATACAAACACTGCAATCCTATCAACGTTGGAAGAGGGAAACTTCCGTCGTCAGGACAATCTGAGTTTGAACCATAGACGTGAAAGTACTCGTCCTTGAAACAGAGCCATGGCGAATGCAATGAGTTCTATGAAGGAAGCTGAAGTTTGGAAGTCTTCTCAATCTGTTGCACAAACTTCATGAATGCGGTGTGTGAGGAACCTCCTCCGCTAACTGCTTTCCTTGCTGCAATTCGGAGGTTTCTGGCATTTGTCCGAATCTTATCGATCTCCAAATCCGCTCCGTCTATAGCCATGATTTTTCTTACCTTTTTGGCTACTTCCTCCTTGGAGACAATTGTAGTATCGTCCTTTACCTGGCTCTTGAAATCAAGGCCAATTTCCCATACACACTTAATGTAGTGGCAATTCGTATTCTGCTCAGCGAATCTTGGCCAGCAAAGCATCGGAACACCAGTTGAGATACTTTCTATAGTGGAGTTCCAACCGCAGTGAGTAAGGAAAGCTGCTACTGAGGGATGTGAGAGAACTGCTATTTGCTCCACCCAGGGTACCAAAAGAGCACGGTCTTGTGTTCTTTGCATAATATCGGAGAGCATGATTTGAAATTCTTTGTTTTCGTGCGTATCCTCGATTAGATCTGATCTGATTACCCAGAGGAAGGCGTGTCCGCTCATCTCGAGACCCAAAGCGAGCTCTTGCATCTGCTCGATGGACATGGTTGCAATACTCCCAAACGAAACGAAAAGAACTGAATTCTGCTTCTGGTTGTCAAGCCAGGACAGAGACAATGGATCCTCTTTCCACAAGGCGCTTGCCGTGGCTGCTAACGACAATTCTTCAACCTCGTCAACCTGATTTTCTGTGGAGTTGAAGACTAGAGGACCCACGAAATAAATATTGGAATTAATGTCAGTCATGGCGTCCAGAATCTCACCCTCCAAATCATGGAACGTGTTGAAGAGAAGGCACTCACAGTCGGGAAGAAGTGGATTTTGAGTAAATCGAAAAAAGCGAATGAAGTAGCTGTTGAGGTCATGGGTTTGTAGAAACGTTGGAATGTCATTGACCCTCATGGTTGGAGATACACCAGGGAGGCATGTGAGTGGAGCATCCCGAATTGCAGTCTCCTGATCACTTCGAGGCAGTCCAAGTGTTAACTTGACTGGATCGAGGGATGGAGTCAAAATATAAGTTGGAGGAGGTGGGAGCGGTAGAATCCCTGCATCTATGAATGTCTCGATGTTCCAATAACATTGGAGGGAAATGGCAGATGGTGTTACGATACCCACCACTAATATGCCCAATTTTTTGACTGGTTCATGAACGGCCACCGCTGCAACATCATGTATTACGCATGTGATTGGAGACTTGCGAAGCAATTTTTCAAACAGCTCTGCAAATACAGGTCCCATTTCTGAAAATGAGCTACAGAAAGAACCCAAATCAGCTAGTCGAGGGTGATCGTCCGGGAGCCCATCTGATACCGCGACAAACTCAATATCTTCACTGCACATAATATACAGATTGAGATCAGGTTAGAGATCTTTCATGGCTGTGTGCTATAGCTTGAGTGCAAGTAGAAAATTAACTGGCCTGTTATATACCACTACTGCGGATTGGTGAACTCCTCCATACTTCGTCGTCCAAATTATGTTGATTGCATCTGGTGATATATGACAGCTACTTGGAATTCAGGGTTCCCGATTGTCAATATCAACTTCATCACCTACCATCACTCTCTTGAACTAATACTTCTATGATTCTTTGCGTTGCAGTTCGATGGTACCAATTCCATGGAATCAGTGTGGTTATTGGTTGCATTCAACTAATAAGATCGAAAGGCATGAGTGGATGAACGCCTCCACGGTGAGGAACTCTTCCGGCAGGAGACTGGCCACATTGAACACGGTAGTAAGATCACACTTTTCAAGATAATAGCATCACGAAGTCTCACTCTGGTTCGCGATCTTTGGAACACGATTTCATCATTCGGTCGTGGTTGTGAATGGTGTTGATGAATGTGATGTGAAACCCAAGTCGAACCAGTTTCTTGGCAAGCTGCAAGCATGGAGTTATATGACCTTGAGCAGGAAATGGAACGATTACTGCGTGCAGAGTTTTAACTGCGTTCCCGTTCCTATGCTCGATCTTCATGGTGACCACTGCTAGAACCAAATTCAGACTGCCAAGCAACAACTACCCCACACTGTCAAGTGTAACAAACTTAAGATGATATTTGGTTCTTCACCTGAATGTAGAAAGAATGACAATTTCCAACTGGACCAGGCTATTATATACAGGACGCAGGCCATTACGCTCTAGACTTTCTTCAGGGATGGCTGCTTTCAAACCTTGTACACAGCGGGCAAGTTATCCCTTTCAACAGCCTCCGGGACCACCTACCCTCAACTGACATTGTCTCCTTGGAGTGTCCTTGAGCTCATTCAGAGAGATAAAAGGTTACCACTGCACTTATGTCCCTGAGTAACAAGTATCTCTCTTTCTCAACCTCCCTCTCTCTCCCTCTCTCTCTCTCTTCCAAGGGGGAGATTCTGCACCACACTACAGCTGGTTTGAATTCCCCTCAGAAGCTGATTACAAAGCTGAACAAACGCCAAAAAAAACATTAAATTAAATAAAATAATTAAGAGGAAGTTGCACCTTAGATTCTCAGATTTAAGAATATGAGCCAAGCTGTGAGGGAGGTTCTACACAGATAGATATGTCACCCATGGGCAAGCTAATCCAACATATGAGCACACATCAGCAATCTGGAAGTTCTAATCATGCTGTAGTTTCTTAAACACCATGTTGTGCACATCAGGCTGGAGGGATGTGGACATCATTTGATTTTGATTGACAGAAGGCACATCCCCCATCTAGGCTGGTTCTCAGAGCAGTTTGACAGCCTTCAAGTGCATGGAGACATCTTGTATCTATTGTCCATGCAGCATGAATCACCTATTTGCCAATTGCTGTTCTCTACATGTATTAAGAAGGGAATTTGTTTATCGTGGTGTGGTTCAAGTATCATACAAGACTTATTGAGAATTTGAATATTTCAAGGGCACTAACATCAACTATTGAATGGAAATATGCATACCAGACATCCCCCAGTCTTGTCTTTAGGGGAGGATGCATAAAGAGCTCACAGTGATGGATGCATGGGATTGTACAACAGCAATATGTGATGGCAAGAGTGATGGAATGGGTGGTAGGACTCAGCTGACACCAGGGGCAGGGTGGGTGATGACATCACCCAATGACATGGGTGCAGTCCCTGTCTAATGACATCACCACACTGGAAGAGGGCTCACTGTGTGGGTAATACCTGGCCTGATGATGGACACCTGCAAACATGTCCATCTCTCTCTGATAATGCTTTGTTTGTTTGTTTATTTGTTTGCTCCAGTGCTGCTGCTGGTTCTTCCTCCCCCGCACTGCAATTAATCCAGAAGTCATCAAGGCTGTCACATTTTCATCTATCCCCTGTCCTCCATCCTATTCATCCATCCACAGCCTGGAAGAGAGGTTCAAAGGACCATCTTTGAAAGAGCTTGGAAAGACTCCAACATAAATAAATAAATAAATAAAAGATGATCATATCAATGTGTGGCTAAGCTTTCAGATCTAGACGTAAGTGGTAATACTAGCTGAATGCATGGATAAGATGAAAAAACACCAATCATGTATTGCAAGCTATCATGACTTTTGTTGAAAACAGGTATTACAAAGTCTCATTTGGGAGCAAAACCAAATAGAGAGTTCCTATCATCATTGGCATTGGCATTGTAGTTAGTGTCTTTTATCCATCATTTGATGTGGTCAACATATAATTACTTAAGAAGCAGATTCTGAGTATCGTTGCTTTAACTTGGTGTCTATTGGAAACATGCAACTTGGATGTTAAAGTGGAGACACAATTCAATTTGTAAAAGCTGGTAACTACCAGATAAGAGTGTATTTTTCTCCCTGCTTGAGATGTCTAGAGCTGGGATTTCTTACCTTCCTTATTAAGATGCCCAAACTTGCATAAATTTGGGCAGCTCATTTGGATTGAGAGGTGCCACTCCTCTTGACCATCAATAATGGATCTTTTGGTAGTAGTGAACATATGTCAAGAATGTTGTTTATATTGATTTTGTGTTATGTTCTGAAAATGCTGCTAATAACAAAAAATGATGCAAATAGCCTTTTTGGTGAAGGGTCCACTTTACTTGGTGGCAATCAGTGCTGCTATAGAGCCTGAGCAGGTTGTTAAGTGGTAGCTAGAGCTGCTACATGCTCAGGTTTGTTTCCCTTTCCTACTTATGTTTTTTTTCTAGTTTATTTAGTGAAGTAGCCCAAGATTAGAAGAATTCTTCTGCATCTTGTTCCTCCATGTGCATGCTTTCAGCTGCTTCAGCTTATACTTATGCTTGTATGTAGTTAGTGCATGTTAATTGACTAGTTGGTGTATTTCCCTATCTGACATACATCATTCTTGCCTCTTGGATGTAGCTCATTCTGATTTTGACCAACGGTGTGAAAAAACTCTAAGTTTGATATGTGCCCTTTGCTTGGTAGAAAGGAATCAATGTTTTCTTGTCTTGTTCATGCATTCAGCTGGTATCTGGAAATGGATGCTCAATTTGTGATCAACCAGAATGACTTGACAAGTGGATAATTTTACATTTTATTGGTGTTTGTATTTGAGTTGAAGCATGTCCTTGACTCTCCTTAGTGGGATCACGTTCAACAGTCTTGCATAAAAAATGGAAGCACATAGGAACTGGAAGATGTGTACTTTTGAGTTGATGATTTTGATGTGTAAGTAGAATGATTGCTACTTGTAGTTTAAAAGTCAATGCTTTCTAACTATTGGTATTTTGTGCAATGAAAGTATGTAAAATTTTATATTTGTAGCTGCTATTGCAATACATACCTTCATTGTTTTATAGATTTTGATATAAAAAGCATCAAAGATCTTCATTCTAAATGCTTTCTTCATCCCAAACATGAGAATCCTACATTAGGTGACTTTTTCTAAAGTACTCATTCTTTTGCCTTTTTTTCAAGGTTATTCAATTAATAATGCATAAGTTTGGTTGAAGTCCAATCATAATGACTAGCATATTGATAAAACAACAACTAAGCAAAGATGCCAATCTACATGTCTTTGTAATTGCCTACATAATTTATGTATTAAGAAGTTTGAATCTACCCTTTGGCATCTTTTTGTTCAAAATTCTATTCACAATCATCTATCTTTTTTAAACATATTAGTAAATTCTATTATAAGATAGTTATCACTTTAGATACAAGAAATAGTGCAACAACTTTTCTTTATATAGACCAAGCTTACAATAATTTTAATTACTATTTGACAACAAGAACCTAAACTTATGGTAATATCTTCAAACATTTAAAATCAATATAGAGCCATGCAAAGTCAATTGCCACAAGGTATGAACAATATGTACCTCAAAGAACTAAAATATCAATATAATTTTGTATCATACAAAAAGACTAGAAAATCACTCAAAGATGATATAGTATTAATCTAGAATGGCTATTGCTAAAAACAAAAAGACTAAAAAGTCTTAAAACAAGACTAAAGACTAAAAATGCATTGACAAGACTTTATTGTTACCTCCATATATATTATACAACTAGGAGATACATGAAAATATTCTATAAGACCTCTAATGCGAGTTGATTTTGCTAGATACATGTTTTAACTTGAAAATATGTTTGCGACATAATTATCTTATTCCACAAAATATCAATATATGTAATACATAGTTAACTTATTGACTAAGTTTTTAATCTATGAATCAACTACAAACACATATAAAATCAAAACTATATCTTTAAAGCTTCTAAGAAGCTTTTTTAGAAGATATTATGAAATTAATTTATATTTATTTATTTCTAATTAATCATATAGGTAATTATTAGAATAAATACATATGTCCATGATATTACTCTTGCTTCTAGATATAAGTTCTATAAGGAGCTTTCATCATCTTTCATAAATCTTGCTATTCCTCATCTTGATTTTGATGGATGTTGTTGATGAAATATTCTAAGCTTTTTTTCTGCATTTGAACAATTCTTTGTTAGCTCCCATGTGCATTCATTAATATCATATCCATATTAATGAATAAGATATTTTAATCTATTTCAATGCTATCTTAAATCTAAAACTTCTTCTACCTCAAATTCTTGATTATTATTCATTTTTATAAAAAGAGATGGTATTTGTCTTCTTTTTAAGATATTCACCATCTTATATGGCTCAAAAAGAGATATGTAAAATATAAGATGGATCTTCATAGACTCCAATAGATGTAATCAATAAGTAATAAGGTTGACTTATTTACAAATAAGAAAAGATCTAAGATTACAATAGTCCAACTTCTAATAAAGATAAGTAGTCTTGGTACTGCGATAAAGTAATCATATCTTGTCACCCACATTGAATTATGGTTATTCTCTATAATTGGCATTTGCATTGATTTTTTTGTCATTCTTGAGCTTATTTTAATTATATCTTTATTATTACATGCAACTTTAATAAATGATTTGTCAAATCTTTTCTTGTAAGATTATCAACTTTTGAAAAGTCAAAAGTATCAAATCATAGATAATAACCATAATTGGCAAAGAAAAGTATTTTTTGAATAGAAGCATGTACTAAATTATTGTATACAAACTCTATCAATGACAAAAGAATTGTCCAACCATCTTGATGATAATTGATGGTATATCTCAAATACTACTTCAAAACTTAATTCATCCATTTTGTTTGCTTAGCAATTTGATGATAAAAAGTCAAAGAAAGCTTTATATCTATCTTTAAAATCTTAATACAAATTGAATCTTCTTATTTGATATAATATCTTTAAATAATCTATAATAGTGAAAGATATTGTCAAATAAAATCTTAGTTGTTTCTTTACTTATGATAGGTTTTGTACATAGTATAAAATTTAGCAAATTAAGAAAGCAATCTAGTATTAAAAATTAAAAATTATATAAATTTAAGACTAGAGTATCCATAATAAAATCTATAGAAATAGAAGACTATAGTTGTTTCAGAATAAATAATGGCTGAAGAAGTTCATAAGGTTGAAGACAAGGAATTTTGGATCTTAAACAAATATCATATGGTTGTATAAAGTCTTTGATTATCTTTTATATTTTAAGCCACTTAAAATCTTAAGATATTAGCTCTGATGTCTTATTGTATCTAAAATATATGGCTATTAAAAGTCATGATAAATTTGAAGAGCTTATAATCATGCTTTTCCTTCTAGAATATATAATCATTCTTTAAAATAGA